GGTAATCCTGAGGCTGAGCGTACGGGTATAACTGGTCTTGTTATTGAAGAGTTATACCGCCGGATTCTACCTACTTTGATGTCCAATGAAGGTGCTATTTTTCAACATGATAATGCGCCTACACATACTGCATGCGTTGTTCGGGATGCTTTACGTTAAATGAATATTGAAGTTATGGAATGGCCTCCGTACTCGCCGGATTTGAACCCAATTGAAAACCTCTGGGCGCTATTGAAAGCTGAAATCTATAAGCTTCGGCCCGATCTCATTCATATGAGGAACAATGACGAAACTAAGGCTATTTTGGTAGCTACAGCGCAGCTTGCATGGGATCAAATAGATCTAGATCATCTAAAGCATCTCTCTGAGACCATGCCGAATCGGGTGGAGGCTATTATTGAGAGCCAGGGGTGGTGTACGCCGTACTAGATAGATAGTTTGAATTCATGGAGTTTTATTCCGGCAGAAAATTACATAATATAGGGGGTGTGGGGCCAGGGGTGTTAAAACTTTTGCGGAGTCACTGTAGGTAAGGCTCCACATCGGGTCGATGATTGGCTTCCAATGAGATGACTAAACATGTTATTCTCAGCCGCAACACCAAACAAACCACATGGAATAGATTACTGTATTGATTTAATTTTGGACATGAAGGTGACGGGCCGAGGGGATGAGATTCAATCAAAACGCAAAATTTCGAATCATCCGGTGCAGCAACCGGTCTACTTCTTGGATTTCTCTGATACGGTATTCTTGGATACCCGTGTTTTGGTAACCCTACCTAAGGTACTTTGAGGCCCCTAAAGATCCAGAAACAGCGTCTCCTGGCCTGTATGGTTCGCTGTCCAAGCTAGACACATATGGAGTGATACGAAGCCAACTTTGTAATTAATCTGTGGAATCGTGTTCAAACAGGTCCTAGGTCTGGAGATGTGGGTCCGTGGTTGAGGAGCTGCGGCCATAAGGCCTTTAGTTCTAGGCCCCTTTATTTTGCCCTCGGACTCAAGAAGTAAACTTTATCTCAAGTACCGTGTAATAACCTGAATAACTTATCCTAGTACCACCACATACTGCATCTCTCGGATCCGCACTACTATAGTCCCGAACTCAAATCATACTTTAGTCTCATGACCTTGGCAGGCGCTGACCACGTGATGAAGACAAACAAACATATATATGTCAGGTGTTTGCATCACTGATTATGAATAAAACCATCTGCTACTCCCTTCGTTGCCACCTCCCTACCCTCCAATCTACCCCTCGGTCTACCAAATGACCGTTAATGATGATGAAGAAATCATTCGAAGTTCCGTTCTATGCAACCGACTTGCCTTGTCCACTACCCACCGGCACCGAAATAGAGAACGCCCCGGACATTTCCATGGAATATGGAGGACGAAGAATTGTCGGAGTAGGCCAGCATTATGTTGTAAAATTTGGACTGGGTGTCAATCTCATTGAAGGGGAAAATATGTTATTTGTTCGGCAGAAAACAACCATCTCCGTCCCGCGGGTCTTCGCCCTTTATTCAGACCCAGAGACAGGCAAAAATTTCATTGTCATGGAGCGCATACTCGGCCAAACACTTCTTTCAGCATGGCCACAACTTACAAAACCGGAGAAAGAAGAAATACTGAAACACTTACGGAGATACTTTGACGACTTGCGCCAGCTTCCATCCCCAAACTACTTCGGCAGTTTCGACCAAAGACGACTTCTGGATGAGATATTTTGGACACACGAGCCAGATCCGTTGGTGAATGGTCCTTTTTACTCTGAAGAAGACCTCAACGAAGCAATGTTGCGAAAGTACACCTACAACGGAGGCCCACTCTACAGAGCAGAATATCTTCGAAGATGCTTTCCTTTTATTTTCAAGGGCCATAAAGCGACATTCACCCACGGTGATTTGCAAAGGAAAAATATCATTCTCCGCGAGAAATCTCATCAAGATCAAGAATGTTCGCGCCTCGTGATAATTGATTGGGAAAAGTCTGGATGGTATCCAGGGTATTGGGAATATTGCTTAGCTGTCTGTGCTTTGCGATGGGATGACGATTGGTCCCTTTGGATTGACCGTATCCTTTCGCCCTTTGTCTCCGAGGCTTCATGGTTCCAGTCACTGCGCTTAGAATTATGGTCGTAGAGGTTGAAATGACATGAATCTTCATACATAACACCCGTAATCACTTTAGTCTCGAAGTGACAGTGCATTCTTCATGGCAAGCAAGGCCGTTCAAAATGAATGTCAACGGCTTCAAGGCGCCCTGCAAGCGCATCCTCCATTTCTCAATTATTGATTTCTGGGGGCTCACATTTGATCTGATAGATTTCTTTCCAGCGTCAAGCATTTCATGAGTCTATCATTAGAGAGAATACAATATAAGCATTCGACAATTTGAAACGAGGGGCCGTGCAAGGAATTCACTCAGCTTGCTTTTTCTTGTTTTTTTTTTTTAATTCTTCATTTGGGTGGCTTTTGGTCTCGGTGCAAATTGACAATCCTATGCAGAAGCCACAACGCCAGCTCCATTGTAGCGGTGTCTACCCCTTCCTAGCACCTTGAAAGCACATCACAAATTGCTCCAGTCCCTCGTAGGTAAATTGTTGCCGAGTCAATCATAATTTTATAACCAATAAAACAGGCACAGCAGACCTTCAATTGCGCGGAACTTCCCATCCAGCCCTTGAGCTGACAATGCAGTATTCAAGCGAGTCAACTCACACAGTGGGTCGGACGATTGGCTGCCGCCGGATCTACGTGAAATCCTTCGCCGCTGATGCTGAGTTCTTGGAAGAGGGAGGTTTAATCTCGACTCGCATTTGAGGCGATCGGTGGTCCGAGGATTGTTGAGAAACAGCCATTTGTGGTGGTTTGAGCAAGTCATCAAAGTGGTCGGTCACATGCGGTGAAAAGAAAAAAGGGCAGCAGGAGATGATGCGCGCGAAAAAAAAACGCTGAGCAACTATAGAACCAGACTGTCAGGATAGGAGATTCATACACCTTGGCTGGTCCTTTCTCTACAGAGTGGTATGACTGAAAATTGGTTGCCGGGGGAACATGGCAAAAACGGGTGCGTAGTGACGTCCAAGTAAGAACAGTCGCTGGTAGACTTGGGGGAGGTCAAGGTATTGGGGAATGCACGGACATCAGAGCGAGTGGAGACAAACAAGCCAATAACATCTAATAAACACCATCCTTCCTTTTCTGCCCAGTGGGGCTCAATTTAATTAAATATAATTAAACAATATGATTTCCTCGAACAAGTAAAACACTCTTCCTTCACGTTTGACATGCGCATAAAGGGCAAGGACTGTGAGAACTAACACTGCCAGACTCGCACAAAAATAGACAATAGAAATAAAGAAAAATTAGCATCTGGTTCGTGATGGGCGTCTCGCCGTGTAATGCAACCTGCGCACAAAAGTTTGATGTGTACGCCAATCAGGGCCAACCGTAGATTTTGGCGCGCGGTACCTTCTATGCACGCCGACACATGCAATATTTCGATGAGAATGGTCTTAGCCACAATGAAGTCCTTAGTTTTTCTTTTCAACATATAAGTAAGACTTGTACGGACGTAGCAGCCCTCATCAGCAAGACCTCGATAGCCAATTTTGTTACCACATCTCAAACCTCTTTAAATATGTCTTTCAGTGTTTACACGGCCGAATATCTTGGTGCGCCCTAACCATGAAGCCATTTACATTGAAACCAACCCCACTGCCCCGCGAACGTCCGAAGGAGGACGTCTCTATCACGTCACTGGAAATTTACTTCAGGGTATGAAATACGACCCAAGAGGTTCCTTTGACCCTGAGTTCTCGGCGTCTTATGTCCCAGGTACAAAGAAAGTGATTGGATCCATTGCGCAGGCAGATTTGACCAGATTCGAGACGGAGTGCTGCAGAGCAGTCGAGGCGCCTCGGGCCCAGTTGACGCTCGGGGGCAAGCAATTGTATCCCGGTACACCACTTTATCGTTGTGGAGACTGGTTGCGAGACGTGCAGAAATTGGCATTTGAAAAGGGCATCTTAAAGCGGTAGAATGAGCTAAGTTCGTCAAGCCCACTTATCACGGTACAACCTCTGACGGAATGAATCCGAAAGCTCGAGTACTGGTTCTTTGTAGAAGTTGTTCATTCTACAACTGAACGTATCTTCCAACGTATCACGACTCTGGGTCACAACAGTCTGAGCTCAATTCCGTTACCTATCTTCTTTCCTCGTGTTCTCGTATCGAATGCGTCATTTCTATATTGAAATCGATTTCTGCTCTCTGATTGGGGTGACAAATAAGGAGGTCGTGGGATGGATCCCGAGTACAAGAAAATGTAAATACAGAGAATGTTTTATATTTTTCCCAAATCTACCATCAATAAAAAACCGACGAGTAGACGACTTGCATCATTAGGTATTCTATCGGGTATTGGTCAAATATGTCTGGGATAAGCTCGAGCCAATCCGGTTTCATTTGGCAGTACAATGTTGAATTGCAAAAATCCCAAAACTCGGGGTACCATCCTGACAAATTCCAGTCGATGAGAGTGACTTTGAAGTCTGCGTCTCCATCATTGCAGACCCCTATTCGCTCCACAATTATGTTCTTTGGTTGCAGGTCTCCATGAGTAAAGACAATTCGATGGTTCTTGAGGGTGCAGTTGATCATTTCTTTCAACAATCGAATGTAGTGCGGTGACTGCGTTTGGCCCAGTCTCTCCAGTATTCCTTGATTCATCTGCTTCTGATCCTTGAATGGCCCAGAAATGATTGGGTTGTTATCAGGAGTTGAAAGAACACCGTCGATGTAAGGCGTCCCATTCAAGTTCCCAAAGTAGTCAGGTGATGGTAATGTTCGCAGTTCATTGATCGCCTGTTTGATCCTCTTGCTGACCGTCGTTTTCTCGATTGGGGTGAGCGATGGCAGTAACTTTTGCAAGTCTGTACCAGGGACGAAATCCATAACGACATATCTTTTCTGGGTCTCTGGGTCGACAAAGTTGGCGTGAACCTTTGGCACAGGAACCTTGCTGTTGGCTGCAACAAATTTCATGTTCTCAGCTTCCAAAGGCGGGATCGAATACCCAATCTTGACTGCGAAGTGTTCCTTTACTCGAACCACTTTAATGGCGTTGGTTCGTATACTAAGGACATCGGTCGACGCCTCAATATCGGCAATGGTTGGTAGTTCAATGATGGGATGAATCTCGTTGTCCATCTCGGTGAACTTAGCGACTCGTTTTGATGAAGATAAAAAAAATACTGCTGAAGGGCAATTCACGGGCTTATGTACTTCTTGACAAGTGCAAACAGTGTAAACATGATGAAGCCGTCGCACGTGACTAATTTCCTTTGGCCATCGATTTACCACGAGGGCGGGCTTCCCGCGAGCATGACAAGCACAACCAACTGCCAACTAGATCAAAATGCGAGTCCATACCTAGGTTAACAGGTAGGTATTTAGAGACAGGCTAGATATTATGCTAAAATATTTGTATCTGAACAGTCCGCGAGGGGAGCCGGAGCTATATGTAGAAGAATTGTATTCGGTATTCGTTTGGAGGCAAACAGTCACCGCTAATCCGCAGGAAGCGTCGGCCCGTGATCTATATCTGGGTCTTGAAGTAATCTATTGGAAAGATAGTATAGCTATCGCTTCTGGATGATATAACACCATGGAGGTCGATTTCATGCGAAATTTGATTATGCCGGCCGCGCCACCTAATAAATGTCGCGAACACCATGGGAGCGAAGCCTTTGTGCCATAACTATTTGATACAACAAAGCCATCATCGACTTGAGGAAATTATCGTCAGTCGTATTCGTATAATGAACGCAGATCTCACGGCCCTGTGTTCTATTGATTTGCTGGAAAAGGTGGCCAAAATATTCCGCCGCAGCCCAAAATGTGGCCTCGGAGTCATTGAAGTCTGGAAAGTGTCCAGAGATAGGTGAGTGGTTGAGCTTCTCCTCGAAAACGTCCAGTTTGTCCAAGATAAGGAGAATAGGCTTGCTTTTGAAATGGTCGCTGTTGGCAGAGGAGTCGAAGAGCTTCATTGCTTCCCGCATCTGGTTCTGCTGTCGTATTAGAACTCGACGTCATACACAATACTTGACTTGACACGCACAGTACAGTGACCCTCAGCTAGACAATGATCATAGCTAGATAGCGCGACCACGAATACGAGACAATCCACGTCTCCAAGGCACGGCATCCACTTCTTTCTTTCCAGAGTTTGACCACATAGATCCACCATGCGCCAATTTATGCCGGCCTGAGTAAAGATGACCTCAGTAGCTCCTTCCCTTGGGCTCTGCGCGCGAAGAACACCCTGCTGTTCCTGTTCAGAGAAGCCGTCTGAAGGAATCATCCGCATTTGCTTGACAATAGTCGATTTGCCCAAGTGATCGGGCCCTAAGGCTCGACTTAGGTTAGGAATCCTTCCCATAACCGTGCCAAGCGCCCAACTACCCAGGATGGGTGGTTGGGCGCTTGGCACGGTTATCCCTCTGTTGTAGGATACAAAACAATCATATTCGCGACCAGCGAACTTCCGTGGTTACTAAAGTGGAAAAACTGGAACCTCTACCCCTACGAAAGGAGTGGATGAACGACCTCGCACAAGCCGTCGCTTTCCTAGAATCGCTTAATCTCGCTCATGGCGACCTACGACCTGAAAATATTTTACTTGATCGTGACCGATTAAAAGTGTCAGAATTTGATTGTACGGCGGAAATCGGGACAGATTTTGAAGCCTGCATGGCCCCGTATGGAAGAATACTCAACAGCGACGAGCTGGATCAAGGACAACGTGGGAGTTCCGGCTTCCTAGGCCCTCGAACCGAACAATTCGCCCTCGGTTCCTTGTTCTACCTCATAAACTACGGCTTTGAGGTTTATGGAGATCGATGTCTTACCGAGAATCCTAACGAGCACGGACGCAAGGTTGTGGACTTACTGCAGAACATGGAATTTCCAAAGTTAGATCGTGATCCGTTAATTGACAACATTATCAACAAATGCTGGCACAACAATTATGCCACGATTGCGGAATTGGCCGCATACACAGATACGCTTCTTCCTGGAAAAACCATCAGGAGGGAGACCAAGGCCGAAACAAAATCCGTTCCCGAATGGCGTATGGGCGGGTTATGGAATAGTTTCAGATCTTGGTGGGCGTTAGTGCTCTATCGCACCAGCGAGGCAACCAACCCTGAAGTAGCCAATGACAGACAGCCGGATGACTATAGCCATGACACGGGTCAAAACCGCTCGGCAGAGGATTTCTCTTCGAAAAAAGCGTTCTGCCAGAGCTTGGAGAAGCGTGGGCTTCGTCATAAGCTTTCTTTGGGAGAGCCAGAGCAACTTGGATTCACTACCGAGTGGTATAGACATTCCATGAGTTGAGGCTCGGGCTCAACTGCAGATTGCGACCGAAAAGAAATCCCAAAGTTCTGTAACTCGATTCTTGCTCAAGCCTGATAGCAGTGCGACAAGTTTTGGTCATTTGGGGTCGAGAGTGTCGTTTGCCCAATAATATTTAATGAACACCCAACTTTCTTTCACTGTTCAAAAAGAAAATGAAAAGGTTTAATAGTCGGATTTTTGAAACAACCAATTGGTCTTGTACCACTTCGCGCCTATTCTTCTTTATTCTACTGATAGTTTAGAAGGCATTGTTGAAGACAGTTGAATTTTATCGTTCAGCATCACGCCTCTCTTCAAACAGTGTCTTTGCGCCACATTCTTGCCAATTTAAGAACCTCTTCTTTCTTTTGGCCGCATTATTTCCTGCGTTTTAAATTTGTATTCCTAATGCTGACTACATATATAGGAGGCTCCCTCCCGCATGTCTAATGACTCCCGCAAGACTGGGACGCGCCTGAGATCTTCTGCGAGACTCTCCGGTAGGTCTGTCTCTTCGCCAAACCGGAAACGGCAAAACTAACTCGAAGACAATTTACAGTCCTCTGTTTATTCACATTGTGGTTTGTGGTGCAAGAGAAAACGAGGGATTGGTCTAAGTATCGATTTGGATGGCATTTCCTACGTGGCGTCCGCTAGAGTTCGCGGCTATTTCTTGAGCGTCGTGCTCCACTACACCTGTATGGACCCTTTACTCCTCCTGGCGAATTTCTGTGCAAAATGTCTCGTCACCTCCGACCAAGCAAGATTCTGTTCTTCCCTGAGCTTCACCAATAAAGATACTTCTTCCTCGGACCATAGTAACCTTTTCCCGTACAAGGGGTATGCTGAGCGTTAACCAGTTCGGTATTTGGGCTTGGCTGGTTAGTCTAATGTGATGTCTGAATATTGGTTTGCGATGCATCTTGATACAGTGGCATCTGTGCTCAAAGACGTACAAATATAATGAGACAAAGCACCCTCAAATAACCAGGACAGGAACTCTAGCCGGTCTTCGACGGGAAGGGCCGAGAATTGAGCATGAACGATAGGAAACGAAACGCTGCTGCGACGATGGAGGCCTTTATTGGACCGGGAGGCACCAACTTTCGAATGTCTCTTCCCAACACTCGAACTTTTTTTTTTGGACTGACGACCAGGAACCGCCGTTCCCTTTGAATTTTGTCATGAATTGAAGAGGTGGATCCTGATTCAAAAAGTTTGGACCACTCCAAGAGACATCTGCCTGGACATGTTGAGATGCCGGTGGTAATTTCCGTTGTTTGGGTCTGCTCACCACCTGGAAAGGTATGATCGTCGAGGATTGTGGGCACTCATAAAACAGGGAAGTTGACACAGAACACGGAACCGGGGATGAGGGATAGGGACAGGGGACAAGGTGCAGGGGAGAGGAGAATTTGAAGGGGGCTTGAATTCCGGTTTTGCAACTTGGGTGGATTTGTAGTCTTTTTATAGACGACGGTCGCCCGTGAGGCGAACTTCACCTTCTACCCAACGCAGACAATCTCGGCCAGCTCCTGCAATCCAGGCCACTGCATCCAAGACGCGAAACCACACCAGTTTCATAGCCACGGGCTGTAGTTCACCGGCCACGATTCCCACCACCCTCGCTTATGACCTTTGTGACGTATGCCCGCACTAGTCGTCAGCCCTCTCTCCATTCGGTAGGTGACGGTACGATCGTGGCATGGCTCTCGTGGTTGCAGTCCAGCATTGGCCGCATGATGCAGTATCGACCGAGGTCAGGCGAGTGTGCGGTATTTTCGCTATTGGCTCGCATCGCCGTGGTATTCTTTCAAGGTTCGCCGATTGGGCGCGGAGAGACCGGAGAGGCCAACGATGACGACAAATGGGAGGTCGAGGCATTCGCGAACAAGCAGCCGAGAGTAGATCTGCGGCGTCAAGGGCTGTGCAATGTAACCTCAGGTGGGGCCTGAGATGGGGCGGATGAAGCGGAGCATGCAGCATCAAGGAGGACAATTTGGGAGACTTCGCACCAAGGGAGGTCAGCGAAATAACAGACACCCCACCAGCAGAAAGAAAGCGGTCTAGATATCTTTGTAGAGTTCTTCGGAAAATGGAGTATTGAAATCCAATCATGCGATGCAGTGGATGACTGGATCACCCCAGTGTTTCCGCTCCTGAGCGACTGGATAGCATTGCAGCCTACGCTGGTCAGAACGACCAGGGAGTCGGATCGAGCGGCATCTCCGATAAAATGAAAGGGGCAGTGCGTTTGGTTGAAAGCAAATGTGCAGTAGTCGGTGGGGGCCAGAGTAAAAGAAATGGGGCGGCGATGAGTGCAAGATAGAGAGGCAGAATAATGGAAAAGAGAGAGAAAGGGAGGGGGAGCAGCGAAGACGGGTCTTTTATGTCGGCGGTATTGAAGGGAGGTTACGTGACGACGTATTGAGTTGCTAAACCCAAAATGGCAAAACTAACCGGATACAGTAATTCACAGGTCCGCCGTTTACACAAAAAAAAAAATACTCTGTCGCGATCATGCAGAGTAAACTTTTCTAAACCACCTTCATAGGTTACACATCATCTACAAAGAATTAAGCTATTAGAAAGTCTCACCTTTCCATCATTATTGAGATGTCGGATTGTATTTGATCGCATTTATGTCTTTTTAAGGTGGCCGCTCGCTTGCAAGATACGTTACATCCCTGATCCCTGGACAGATTTCAAAGAAATCTAGAAAAGTGCTTTTGAGCCGCCTTCATATGTAAAAAGACAATCAGACCAACTCAAAAGGCATTACACGTAAGCGGCCGACTATTCTTGTTCTCTATACTTCGATTCTACTAGTCAAGTGTATAGATCGGTATTTGAGTCATCGAGTCCCGATAAAAATCCCCCCACCTGGGCTCCCCACCAACCTCGGAACTCTCAACATCTCACATTCCTCACCACTATGGCTTCGAAGTCTCCTTTTAATTTGGCCACATGCGCCCGTCCTAACATCCTGGCATTGCAGCCTTACCGATGCGCCAGAGAGTATGTGCGGCCCATTCCCAATCACCGGTACCGGCGTGCTAATGAGTCAGTGACTACAAAGATGATGGGACGAACGTCCTCCTCGACGCCAACGAGAATGCCTTCGGTCCCAGTCTTGCCCTGAATAGCGAGGGAGCCTTGCAATCCTCCCAGACTGGCAATGCCACGGGAGCCTCCCAGCTGGAGATTGATTTCCTCGGCCTGAACCGCTACCCGGATCCGTAAGTGAAACTCCTGCTGTCGCGTCGCATTCAGACCAATTGAACCTAACACTGCGTCTCCCAGTCACCAAATTGAGTTGAAGCAGCTCTTCTGCAACCTCCGCAATACCCACCACCACACCCCGAAGACCCTTCTCCCCGAGAACATGTTCTGCGGCGTAGGCTCAGACGAAGCCATTGACGCGCTACTACGCTGCTTCTGCGTTCCCGGCAAAGACAAGATCCTCACATGTCCCCCAACCTACGGAATGTACAGCGTTAGCGCGCAGGTCAACGACCTCGAGATCGTCAAGGTACCACTCGACGCTACGAACAGATTCCACCTACAAGCCGATAAGGTCAACGAGGCCCTATCAGCCGACCCATCAATCAAGCTGGCCTATATCTGCTCACCGGGCAACCCGACCGCGAATCTGATCCGCAAAGAGGACATCCGCAAGGTTCTTGAACACCCAACTTGGAACGGCATCGTGGTGGTCGATGAAGCGTATATCGACTTTGCGCCCGAAGGCTCTAGTCTGGCAGAGTGGGTGACCGAGTGGCCCAACCTAGTCGTCATGCAGACACTCAGCAAGGCATTTGGTCTGGCCGGTATCCGCCTCGGCGTGGCCTATGCCAGTGTGGAGGTCGCGCGTCTGCTTAACAGTCTCAAAGCTCCTTATAACATCTCCAGCCCTACCAGCGCGCTCGCCTCCGCCGCACTCACGGCCCCCAATCTGGCAGTGATGCACCGCTCCCGCTCGCAGATCATCGCGCAACGCGACCGTCTGCTCCGTGAGCTCCCGACGATTCCTGGCGTAGGGCAATTCCTTGGTGGTAGCGACGCAAACTTCTTGCTCGTGCAGATTCTGGACACCGAGGGCCGACCAAGTAACGTGACTGCGCATGCGGCTTACGAGGCGATGGCAGAGAAGCGTGGTGTGGTGGTCCGCTTCCGTGGGAAAGAGCTTGGATGTGAAGGCTGTCTCCGTATCACTGTCGGGACGGAGACGGAAGTTACCAAATTCCTTCAGGAGCTGCGGATTGTGTTGAGTGGACTGGGCTCAGGATGAAGCGAGGCCGGAAGACTCGGCTGTGGTGGGATGAAGGTTGCGCGACTAATCATTTTGACAATCATAAGGATTTGGGAGAGATCACATTTCCCGACGAACGCACGGAGTAGATAACCTTTGGACATAATTTCAAGGTTGAGAGCTAACATACGATATCACACATTTAGACATCCACAGGGTAGACTCCGAAGTGTCTAGGGCTCTTCGCTTATCAGGGCTATTTCCTCTGCTTTATGTTGTATATCCCTGTTCATCTGTGGATTCTATGCCCCCAGGGGCTTTTGAAAGTAGAAATAGTTCACGCCTACAGAGTACACCGCAAACCACAAACCAAGGCCGTCGCCCGCTGTTGTGACCAGGTGTAATCCCTGAAAATTGTGTAATGTCCCAAAGCGATTGGGGTTGATTTATCTGTTCCAAGGTACGTATTATCCTCCTCGGATCGGAAAGGGGAGACGTTCTAATAATTCGATTCTCTCAGATTAGCCAGTCGAATATCACTGGCTGTTTATAGAGGAGGCTTATCTGGGCAATCCTTGATCTTTCCCCTCTTCTTGTAGGGGAGATTCTACCTTGTTGATACTCTCTAATTAATTCCCCTATCTCTTTCGATTATACGATGTCATTAAATTGTGTTTTTCTCATCTTTAGTTCTCACAAGATCGTCCAGGCTTCATCTTGGTCTCCGCAATTCGCCCCATAGCCCCCTACCTAAAACATCCCCACACTTTCCCACGTGTGAGGAGCAATGTAAACCCCGTCGCTTGCTGTGTGCTGTTCTTTTTTTTGTGTGTGTGTGTGTGTGGTTAAGCCTTCATGGTCACCATGGTCACCATGGCCATTTCGCTAGTCGTGCGTGGCACTTATCAAGAGACCCCACCAGCCTTTCAGACCAGAAACCAGATCAACCCGACGCTCATGATGAGCTGGTGGGCTACTATGTTCTCCTTAGTGATCATCGTCGTGCGCCTCTGTGGTCGCTATATTCGTGTTGAGCGCTTTTTCGCCGAGGACAAGGTCATGATGATCGCTGTCATGCCCCTGTTGATTCGCATGGTCCTCGTGCATTTCGTTCTCGTTTTGGGGACTAATAATACCACCACCACAGGCTTGTCAGAGAAGGAGATATCGAAGAGAGAGCTAGGTAGCAAGCTGGTTCTTGCTGCGCGTATCTTCTATGCCCTCTTGTAAGATGCACCCCCATCTCATTCTTATCTTTATCTTGCATCTGCGTGTTCGCAGTGGCTCACAAACTACTACAGCATCTGGACGGCTAAAGTGACAGTATGTGAATTCCTAAAGCGAGTCACAGGGCTTACCTGGCGCCGATCAACGAGTTTCTTCCTACGCTTTATCTCTTTCTTCCTCTTATCAACCCTAGTCGCCGTGGTCATCGCAACCTTGGCGGAATGCCAACCCTTCAACCACTACTGGCAGGTCACCCCGGACCCAGGTCCAAAATGCCGTACCGGCCACGTCAATCTAATAACGATGGGCACCTGTGACGTGATCACCGACCTTCTACTCGTGGCCATCCCAGTCCCCATAATCCTCATGACTCAAATGCCTTTAAAGCGCCGTCTCGCCCTCGCATCCCTCTTCTGTCTATCTCTCATACTGGTCGCCATAACCTCCTACCGCGTCCCCTCCGTACTTCAACACAGAGGGTCCCAGCCATACCGCTCCTTACTCGCCTCCTTCGAAATCCTTGCCGCAACAGCGGTCTCAAATGTCCTAGTGATAGGCTCCTTCGTCCGAGACCGCGGCGTCAAGAAACTAAAATACAAACGCGCTCAAGGCTCAGCCTCCGTCTCAGAAAACATTGACAAATCTTTCCTACGCAGAAATACAGTCATGCAAAACCAATGGGGCTCAGACTCGGAACTAGCAACGGGTCTATGCATCCGTCTAGATCCAGACATCTACACAATCCCCGGTACTTCGGACGGAGCTCGTGTGCCCAAACTACCATCAACCGCCCCATCCTCTCAACCGCCATCAGCAGTTGCTCGCACAGGAACTCTAGATCCAACATGGTCATTTTCAACAACCCGTCGCGCAGATGACGACCGTGCCTCGGCGACAGACAGTCTCGGGCCAAAAGTCACGCCGCGTGAATACCTGCGCACAAACGAGTCCCCCCGGGAGATCTCGCCTTTCTCCGAGATGCCGCGTCGTGTGTCATTCTCGGATGTCGGTGGGTTGCTGACCAGACCACTGCTGGGGTCCGGGCCGGAACATGTGCGGGCCCAGACTACCTTGTCCTCACCCGTAGAGTCTACGCAGCATCGCAGAGGCGGCGGCAGCAGGGCCTTTTTGGAGGATTTGGGGATTTTCGGACCATCGCGAGCTGCGTATGGGCTACGGTCGACGCTTTCTGGTGCTCCGGATCTACCGTTTCCGGCGTCGGCTTTTGGGAATTCGCGTTTGCTTCCAATGTCTGGTTCGACGGCTTTGACTGTGGATGCTGATGTCGAGCTTCATGATGTTGGTGGGCTATTATCGCGACATGATCATTAAGACTTCCCCCCCTCCAGGGTGGTGCGATTATAGATGGCATGATATGATGTGACGGCTGGTTTTTCTTCTGTCGTTTTCTTTCTTGGAAATTTTGGGTCAGGGCTTGTTGTCTCTTACACACAGGTTGTTAGGCTGGAGACTTTTTCGGGGTTCGAGACTATGTACACATCTTACACACCCCTTTACCTTTTCTTCTAGGTTTGCTGCTTCTTGCTTCCTGTTTTCTTTTATTCCCCCTCGTGCGCCTATTGGCGTTTATGTTGAATGTGTTGCATCCTTGGGCACTTCTATCGGCTCGGGCATGGCTGGCACTCTATTTGGAGCCTTTCCAATGATGTATCCCTATACAAATACTATAGATAGAGATTTACAAGAATTTTTGGGAAATCATTCAGAGTCACATCCGTCACATGATGATGCACAACCCTGATTAGATTGCGAGTGGCCTTTTCTCCAAACGCTCTTAATGTGAAATCAAACAGGCTACAACTCTACAAAATTTCCAATCAACCGCCCGCTTATCTTGTCACTGTAGTCAATTTTCCATGAGGTCATCCACTCCCTGTATGTTCACATTTGAGAAAAGAGCTCGCTCTAGACGCACTCCCCTCAAAAAGGTCACTTTGAAAACAAGATCATAGCCACGCAAGACCTCAGAGTCTTCTTGTTATCAGCTTTAACAAAATTTGTTCTACAAGCTACCAAATATCGGATGACTTGAGCTTCTGATGCCTCCATTGAAGGTTATCAACCACGGAGCATAGCCTCTTCATCTAGTACAGCAATCATATCTATTCTTCTACATTCTCTCATCTCTAACCGACAAATCAATCATCAAACCAAATTTGGTTTAAAGATCTTTTCCCCTATCCATAGCTCCTCATTTCGTTCCGTTTGCTACCTTGCTCTGAAGACACCAAGGAAAGTTCGGCAATTGAGTCTTGTCACCTCGAATCCAACTCATGGCTGTAAATACCCAGTTCACATGCCCCGGAAACGAACAAGACCAAGTCAAACCCAAGAGCTCTGATTCTCCACCTCCTCTCAATCTCAGTTCGGTTCTACGCCCACTCCCAACGAGTCCAGAAGGACGAGAGCGAACATGCCTGGTCAGCCCGTACCACCAGCAACAGTTCAGATGCCTAAATGCCAACCAAAAGTACTCTCATCTGCTAAGCAATCGTTCTTAGGAGGGAGAACTTTTCAACTTCAGTGACGAACAAGAATCATTGGGCTCAGAAAGCATTACAACGACCTCTGAAAGGAAGAGAACAGAACCCTTCATGACTAACGAGGTGAATTTCTCAAACGTCAGCCTCATGGGACACGGACAAGCAGGGCCTGGGTATCAAACGGTAACTAACGTATTCCTAGACAGAGTTCTAGTTACAGGGTTGTAACGTTGGATGATAATGCTTCTGCCTTGTCATTAAAGTGGGCATATCTTTCTATCCAGTAGTAACTTCTGAACCGATTAAACTGCTGCCTACACTTATCATCGGAGTGTACGGTATGTATAGCAACTGGAAAGGATCAATTAGGTAGAACATCACAAACCGACTCGAGGGAGAGTAAAAACAAAAGTGTAGTACAATTGACGCCCAACCCCAGGACCCAAGAACGCCGAGTCCAGTTTTGCGCCAGCGAGAAGTAATAAAAAAACAAGGATATATACGAAGGGAGCGGGAAAAAAAAACCACCACACCCCAAGACCAGCTCCCAACCCCGGATTCACAAAGCCCTAACCCCCAAGTCAAAAGCCAACCCCAGGAAACATAGAACCGCCAGCCTCTATCACTCGATAGTTTCCCAAGAGTGCAGTCCGTGCACAGCATAGCGACTTAAAGCAACTCCAAATCCAGCTAAACCCAAACAGAAACGTTGTCGCGTATTGCGTGTCATAAAGACCCAAACCCAGAATAGGTCTAGAATAAGATATCCAAACAGCAGCAGCAAGCCATCGCAGCCATTATACCCGCACAGATGCCACCTGCACCACCGTCAGAGCGCCCGCGAGCATCGGCATAGTATCCCTGCTGCTGTTGAGGGGGGTAGCCCTGAACCTGCTGCTGCGGCGAGTAGTACATCGGCTGCTGGCCTTGAGGGTAATAGCCCTGCTGGTTTTGCTGAGGTTGGCCATAGCCTTGTTGGGGTGGGTAGTAGCCCTGTTGTTGGGGCTGGCCGCCATAGTAGTCGTTCGCGGCGCCGGGGCTTTGGCCTGGCTGTTGTTGGTGGTAAGGACCTGCGTTGTGGACTTGGGCGGGGTAGGAGGGTGGTGGGCTTGTCTGGAAAAGATTAGTATTTAGGATTTGTGTTTTCAGGATTGTTTGCGATTAGTTGTTCTTGATTTTTTGGGGGGGGACTTACGGGTTTGTTGTAAGACATAGTGGAAATTGAAGGTGGAGCTCCCCGGTGGTATCGGACTTAGGGCGGATTTGAGGAAATTGCGCTGTAAATGTGGATATGGGGGAAGGGGGGGGGGGGGGGGCGTTTCTGTGTCGGATGGATTGTGAACTCGAGACTAACGCACTCAAGAAAGAGAGAGAAGTAGATGAAGATGAAAAGGAAGCGCCGGAATCGAGTAAGAGTGCCAGTGGCGCAGTTCGGGGCTTAGTCAACCGTTTCCAGGTTTGATGCTTGCGCCTCATTTCTACTTTAAAGAGCTAACGTGGTTTTTTTTTTCATCTTTTGCATTTGGACTAGTCTCACATTTTTAGTTACAGTCGCTAGTTTTTTTTTTATGCAATGTACGAAGCTCTTCCTGTTAGTGGAGCCATGCAATTGGCTCTCCATTTTATGTTGTACTTGGCTTCTAACCTTCCCCTCCCAACACGCACCATGTCACTTCCAGAGCCACCTCTAAGATGTCGTGTGTATGCATTCTTCAGTGGAAACCATCTACTTTAATTATTTAAATTTGAATAACATGTTGTTGATCCTCCCTGTCAGTTCATTCCTTCCCCAGATATTACGTATCCAGACGAAACAAACCACCAGTGGAGCATATTCGCTGTACAACTTGTGGAATTTGATCCGCTATATTGAGTAGTTCACAATCTGTAAACACGCAATATTTACGGAGGATAATCCCGACAGCAACATCTTTCTGCATTCTCCGCTAAGCGTAGGGGACCGATTTAGCATCGGGCATTGTGCCGTAGTCACAATGCTTTCCTGACACCGTGAAACTACGTTGATTCTCTAAGCAACATACATAGATCCAATTTTTCCTCAAGATTTACCGAAACTCTTCTTTATAGCAACAGCAGGATCTCCTTAATCGCTCAATGCACCAGCTTTCTCCTCATCTCAATTATTCCTCTGGCTAGCGATACTATCTCACCGACCGACAAGGAAGGTCGGAGACTCTGGCCAGGAAACTTTTACACCCTGTGCTCCATGCCTATCAATCATATTTTAGCTGCTGTAGGTGTTTTGGGCAGCTATTGTTAAGCTCGCAAAATGTTCACTAGAGCTGTTGCAAATACGCTAAGCCTATAGGGTCTGGCTGTGCAAGCCATTTTCTTCACGCTAGTCCCAATAACGTGGATATCGAGTCTTCCATCCCCATATGCAAAATTGTAAGATTGACAGCATCCTACTGATGTTGTAGGGCGACTTCTCTATTTGGTACGGGGCTATCGGTCGAATCATCATTGATAGCTTTGTCTTCACTCCCGACTATGGAAAGCTACTATTATTGGCCTTGCATCGCTCGTCTTCGAGCAAGGCCACTGTACAACTATACGACAGTGTGACTGAGATAGGGTCACGCGGTCTGCCTGCCAGAATGTGACCTTTCATCGATAGCATAGCAGGTCCAGCGCCGATAAGGCTCAAGACGGTGGTGCCATCGGTTCTAGCAGATGCTAAAAAAAGGTTCGGGCGAAGCCGAGAATGGTGCCACCTCCTAGGAAAGGCTACCGCCAAGGTTTAGTTGTTTTGAAGCACGGGTCTGACGTGTGGACTTCTCGTAGGCGAAGGGATTCTGCCCGCAGCTGCTAAGAGTCGATTTGAGCGGGTTGTAGCTCGTTCGTGAATGCATAATCATGGCAAAGTAGCACGATACTCATACGTTCTGTTTGTGGGAGAAGATCTCGCGAAGGGCAAGTACTCATCCATTCCAGAGTCAAATGAAGTCATGGACGCGGGTCTGCACGAGGTAACTCACTCAGTTTTATCCTCAACAAAGTCTCTTGGCACCCGCCAATCACACACCTGGACCCCCCGGGACCCTCACCCCCATGATGGCCGGCTCACACGTCGGAGACAGCCGTCACCAACTGGCTACTCAGCCCTCGCATTTACGAATGCATGAACTTTCGCTTGCTCCCTGCCGGACGTTAATTAAATCTACCTACCTACCTA